TGGTAGTGGTCGATCGACTGTCCAAGTATGCCCTTTTTGTGGCCCTCCCAACCGATTTTATTGCCATAAAAGTAGCAGAAATTTTTGTTCAGAATATTTGCAAATTGCACGGCATCCCTTCTACAATAATCAGTGACCGGGATCCCATTTTCATCAGTAAATTGTGGCTGGAATTATTCCTACTCAGTGGAACTAAGTTGATGTATAGCAGTGCCTACCACCCAGATACGGATGGTCAAATAGAGGTCATCAACAGAGGACTTGAACAATATCTTCGCAGCTTCACTTTTGATCACCCCACCCATTGGTACAAGTATTTGTCTTGTGCAGAGTACTCCCACAATACGGCGTATCATTCCTCAATCAAGACCACACCATTCCAGGTAGTTTATTGTCGTTCCCCGCCTAATCTGATACCTTGCTCACATCCAGACACCATTGTAGAAGCCGTTGAAGAGACATTGCAAAGAAGAGATCAATTGTTACGAGAATTGAAAGTTCATATGCAACAATCACAGAACCGTATGAAACAATGCGCTGACAAACACCGGCGTGAACAACACTTTCAAGTTAGCGATTTGGTGTTAATAAAGTTGCAACCATACAGACAAACCACACTAGCTCAATAGCCTTTCACCAAACTCAACAAAAGATTCTATGGACCATTTCTGATTGAGGCACAAATAGGTCCAGTGGCATGCAGAGTCTAGCTACCAGAACACGCAAAGCTGCATCCCGTGTTTCATGTATCAGTTTTGAAACCATATAACTAGGACACCAACATCCATGTTGCTCCACTGCCACCTACTATAGTCGACAATCATCCCATCATTGAACCCACTGCCATTCTTCGAACCAGACACGTGCATGACGGGAAACACATCAAGCTCTAGCTACTAGTGCAATGGGACGGTTTGTTGCGGGAAGATGCGTCTTGGATTCATTTTGATGAGCTCAAAGTTCAATACCCAAATTTTAACCTTGAGGACAATGTCAAGTCTGAAGGGTTGGGAGATGATACGGAACCCTGGCCACACCAACAACTGAAGAGGAACCCATGTCAGCCAAGAGCAGGGGCGGACCCAGCACCCGGCGAGTCGGGGCGGCCGCCCGTGCTGGATTCGTCGAGAAAAAAGATTAAAGGAAGATTTTATATTAAATATATATAAATGTTAGTGCAAAAATGTAACAGGACAAGTTAGCTAGCTCAAACGGTTAAGAGCTTACCTTCCTTGCCAATTGATTGG